AGTCTTGTGGCTTGTTGCGGCTGAGTCAATACACCATTTGCGTGGTATACTGTTCTGAGTCACTTTAAAGGTAGTGCTCCAGGATGTGCCTGCAGTTGCCTTTGTGGCTGCCTTATCTCTTTCTCTTGTGGATCCTTCTTGCTTTCTCTGCTTGGCTTTCCAGATTGAACAGTCCTCTTTTAGGTGACCTGTCTGTTTACAGCGAAAACACTCTCTCTTTCTTTTGCTTTGTGCTCTCATGCACCTTAAGGGTTTTCTCGTTTTCTTCATTGTGCACATTTTCTTTCCTTCTGTCATTCATTTTCCTTTGGCGTATTTAGTGTTAGTTCCTGCTCGGGTCTGGTGCCTAGACCGTTAATAAAAGCACGGTATGACTCTGGAAGACTGCATAGCAGTAATGCAACCACATGGTGATTAGAGCTGCAACAGTTAATCGATTTAGTCGATTAAAATCGACGATTGAAAAAGTTGGCAACGTTTTCGATCGTCGATTCGTCGGCTATCGATTGATTTGCCTGTTCGGGGCTCCACATGCGGCCTGAGCCACACGTCACACGCGGCTCCCGACGTGCCCACGGCACAGGCCGCGTAAGCCACGCTCACCGCACAGGACGCTGAAGCCGCGCACGCCGCTGCTCTACTCGACGCGATCTCCCTCACTCGCCGCTGGCCCGCCGACAATCGAGGGCCCACCTTCTGAAGCCAGTGGTGGACGGAGCTGCAGTGTGGAACAGGTGTGCGGGGATATAGTGGTGGAATAGGGGTCAGTGTGGAACAGCTGTGTGGAGAGGCAGTGGTGGAATAGGTGTATGGGGGTGCAGTGTGGACCAGGTGTCAGTGTGGAACAGCTGTGTGGAGAGGCAGTGGTGGAATAGGTGTATGGGGGTGCAGTGTGGACCAGGTGTATGGGGGTGCAGTGTTGACCAGGTGTCAGTGTGGAACAGCTGTGTGGAGAGGCAGTGGTGGAATAGGTGTATGGGGGTGCAGTGTGGACCAGGTGTATGGGGGTGCAGTGTTGGAATAGGGGTGCAGGGATGCAGTGGTGGAACAGGGGTGCAGGGATGCAGTGGTGGAACAGGTGTGCGGGGGTGCGGTGGTGGAAAAGGGGTATGGAGGTGCAGTGCGGAACAGGTGTATGAGTGTGATGTGGTGGAATAGGTGTTTGGGGGTGCTGTGTTGGAACAGGTGTACAAGGGTGCTGTGTGAAACAGGTGTATGGGTGCAGTAGTGGAATAGGTGTGGGGGTGCTGTGGTGGAACAGGTGTACAAGGGTGCTGTGTGAAACAGGTGTATGGGTGCAGTAGTGGAATAGGTGTGTGGGGGTGCTGTGTGGAACAGTTGTATGGTGTGAAGCGGGGGAACAGGTGTATGAAGGTTCAGCGAGGAACAGGTGTATTGGCGTGCAATGGTGGATTGTGTGGGGGTGTCGTTGTGGAACAGGAGCACAGGGGTGCTATGGTGGAACAGGTACAGTACACTACGCACGCCGCAGACGCCACGACCACGCCGCATATGTCACGCCCACCACACAAGCCGGACACACGCCCGCAGAGCACGCCGCCGCGACTTACAAGGGTTCAGAAACAGGTAAGGGGGACCTGTTTTAATGTTTCCTGTTTATTAAAAAAAAGCGGCACACTGTAGAATACCACCAGCTATAGAGGAACAACAAATCCCAGCAATAATATATTAAACACCCGGTATAATGTATTATTGCTGGGACTTGTTGTTCCTCTATAGCTGGTGGTATTCTCCATTGCGCTGTATAATGTATTTTTGCTGGGATTTGTTCCTCTATAACTGGTCAGTGGTAATCTGCATTGCGCAGTTAAAATCATTATACAGCGCAATGGAGAATACCACCAGCTATAGAGGACTACAAATCCCAGCAATAATACATTATATACAGCGCAATGCAGAATAACGCCAGCTACAGAGGACTACAAATCCCAGCAATAGTACATTATAGTATAATGTACTATTGCTACATTCCTCTATAGCTGCTGGTATTCTGCACTGCGACGCAGTATAATGTACTATATTGCACACCACACTTTTTGTTTTTTACTTCCACCGCGCCAAGCTTGCTCCTGTGATGGACTACAATCTCAATACAAACTAGTAGTCCCATCACCGGAGCCTTTTTTTTTTCTTTTTTATCCGATTAATCAAACTTAATAATCGGCCAACTAATCGATTATGAAAATAATCGTTAGCTGCAGCCCTAATGGTGATCTTTCATTTCTTCTCCAATTGCACGTAGTTCTATGGTTTCAAGCATGGCATTCATATGTTCATGCATTTCCTGGCCTTTTTCTAGCCTCATCTTATATAGCTTGCGTAGCCGATATAGCTTACTGTTTAGGTTTAAATGCTCATGTTTTTGTAATGCAGTCCACATACTGCATTTTCTTTTCTTATGTGGATGAGCTGGTTGTCTTCCACTAGTAGACTTATAATTGCTTTTGCTTACCTGTTCTTCTTACCCCTTTCCTCTGTGGGTCCATTAGTGCGTCTGTCTGTACTCGGTACTTGCCACAGGTCGTCTTTCCTTAGCAGCATTTCAAGCATGAACGTCCATAGCTGGTAGTTGCTATTGAGCTTTGCGATTGCAAACCAGTTTTTGGGTGGGATGAAATCTCCAGTCCTGAGGTCAGGTGTTGCCAGTGATCAGGTGGCTGAGGGCAGCGTCATTAAAAGCCCACACCAGATCTTTTCCTCACTGCCATGCGAGTGCCTATTCCTGTCCCTGGGAAGAAGGATTTTCCAGTCACGTCAGAGTAAACAGGAATTTTTATGAAGGTTTCGATCAGCCACAATTCTTGGGGTCAGTCCCGAGCATTGGAAGATCCTCACTGTGGACATATGAGTCCTTAGCATTCTGACAGTGCATTGCTGCTGGATGCAAGAGTAATCTAGTCCACTGTTCAACATAATGGAGATTATACAAATCTACTTGTCTCTGCTGTACTGGACAGCCCATTATTATGGGCAGATGAAGAGAGTGCAGTACAACAATGCCACCATTGTGGCATACATGTCATCAAGGAGAAACTCAGGGTCAAGCAGCAGGAAAAAAAAATGGCTCACATCTTGTGCTGGACAGAACAACATTTTCCAATTATGTTAGTGGTCTGCAAGAGCAGACAATTAGTTGGTGGATTCCCTTACTATGTCGAAAGCTGTACTTGGGAGGTTGGACCAAAGTATCATCTACTTGGTCCCTGTTGGGGCTTTCTCGATCCTGGTTCTGATGGCGTCATGCCACAATCTAAAGGTCCAATGGTTCATAGTCACTTCTTGGACTTTGCATGCTCACATTTGTGTTTTCCCTCCTCTCAAGTTGATTCCAGTTCTTTCAAAGTAGACCATCCTGGAGAGGATTACTACCATTCTGCTGGCCCTGGACTGGTTAAGAAGATCTTGTTACACAGAGGTAGAATTCCTGGTATCCAAAGTCCCCTGGCTTCTGCCCAGACCTTCTCTCTTGGGTACTGATTCTGCATATTGCTTCTCCAATTTTAACAGCATGGCATGGCTATTGAACCACAGGTTCTGAGGGAATGAGGCTTTTCTGAAGCTGGCATACCCTCAATGCTTCATGCCCACAAGCCCTCATCTTGACACATTTTTCACTGAACTTTCTTTCAATGCAGTCATTCTAGCTTCTTCTTTAGTTTCCTGCAGGTAAGACTTCACCAGAAACTAGCACTAAGCACCAACAAGGAACTATTCTTTTTCCAAGACCACTAGCATCCCCCTCCCTGGTATGTACCTGTGACCAGGTAGTCACCTTTTTCCTTTTGTCAAACAAACTTTTTTTTTTTTGTAGGGGAAAGATCTTCCAAGTGGCTGTGAAATCAGCTGAACTTAAAGGAGAACTATGGGGTTAAGGCTTTTCCCCATAGTTCTCCTTAGGGTAACGGGAGGGCACAAACTAGCGTCCTCCCGTCACCCTAAGCTCAGTATACCGCGAGCTACAGCTCGCGGTATACTGAGACGCCACAGTATAGCTCGCGGTATACTAAGACGCCGCAGCTGAAGCGGATCCCGACAATTATTTCTGGATCCGCCCAGCTGCGTGAGTGACAGCTGGCTCTGCCTATTTAGAGGCAGAGCCAGCTGTAACCGCCCCCTCCCCCGTCTGATCCGCCAGTCAGCACTGGCGGATCGGAGGGGGGAATCCAGCCCCTCCCCTGTCACGGCAGAGAGCTGAGACAGGATCGAGAGGTGAGCGAACTCCGGTATGGGTTCGCTTACCTCCCGATCTACTGAGCCGACCTGTGACAGTCTCACAGGTCGGCTAGAACTATGAGGTGAGTGAAAAGCACTCGCCTCATAGTTCTCCTTTTTTACACTGTTGGCAGTCACCTGTGAGGTTGGAAATTATTTTCCATTCCCTGTGTTTAGGACTGCTTTTGGACATCCTGGTGGTCCACTATGACCTCCATGAATGTTAATTGAAAAAGGGACGTGTTCTCACTGTAAAATTCTTTACTTCATTAGTTAATTTATGGACATAAGCTCTTCCCATGTTGCATGTGTTTAAGGTTTGGTGTACAATGGTTACATGAAGTATTCTTCCTAGTGTGTAAACTGCTAGTGACTAGGCATATAGTCAGTGGTCTACTGTGTCCCCCACTGACCTAGCCAAGAAAAGGTTTTTACAGTGTGTACATAATTCCTTTTTTGTGCCATTTTTTCACTTTAAAATCCTCTTCTCTAGTAGTTTATATGGAAACCCAGATCCCGCCTATTACTTTTGTGTTTTACTTAGACATGTTCCCTCATTTATGAATGTGCTTTGTGTTTGTGTTTTACTGTCCCCTTCTGTCACGACTTGCTACTCCTGGGCTTACTCAGTATGTGAGAAGGTATAGCCACTAACTGTGCCTTTTATTTGCCTAGTGCCCAACCTCCTAAAGGCAGAGCATAATCCCAGAGGTCTTGGGAGAATGGAGAAAAAATGTTTACGTTGATTACGTGTCTCTTTCTTACAGATTGAAAACTTGCTTGGTGGAGATGAGAAATTTCAGTCAAGAGTGAACAAAAGCTTGGTCCCCTGCATTGCTCAGTTTTCTGTTGCCATGGCTGATGACTGTCTATGGAAACCACTTAACTATCAGATTCTGTTAAAGATGCGACACTCTTCTCCAAAGGTAATACAATTTAACTTTATGAAGTGTTTTGTGTTTCCATTAATGGGTGAAACTCTCCAGGAGAATGGCAGGTTGGGAAAGACCGGTCTATTCTTACTATTAACACATGCCTCCCGAACTCTTTATTCTGCTTTCCTGTTTGGGTGATAGTAAAATGTCACACTGGTAAAAGGTTGCATTGCCAACTAAAGAAAGAAGTTTGAAATTAATGTAATCTAAATTTTCGTCAAAGTAGCCACCTTTTGCAGATATAACAGACAAACACCCTTGTGGCATTCTTTCTACAACTGAAATCAAATATTGTTCGGTAAGTTCTTCCCAACACTGTTGCAGAAGTTACCACAAATGTGTTGCACTTTTAGGTTCGATGAGGTATACGTCTGGAGACTTTGCTGGTCATTACCAGCTACGAATAAGGCCCAATGTGAGGGCTGAAACGTAAGCATTTGTTTGCTGCTGTAATGCCTTTTTACAAATAAAGTACTGGATGGACGGACCCCCTTGCGAGTGCCTGTTTTTTTAACCTATTGCTGGTCATTACATGATTTGAAGCCCAGTGGCTTGTTCTTTTCTCCTAAAGTAGTTCTGACATAGCCTGGGGGGTATTTTTGGGTCATTATCTAGCTGTAGGATGAACCCCTGACCAACTAGGTATTGCATGGCGCTGCAAAATGCTGTGCTAGTAGTTTTGGTTCAGGGTGCCACTCACTCTGTGCAAGTCACCAACTCTGGATCCAGCAAAAGAGCCCTCGATTAGGGTTGCACAGATACCAAGTACAGTACTCGGTACAAGTACGAGTACATGTACCGATACTTTTGAGCTCCAAGACTACACTAGATAAAAATTCAAAAATTAGGAGGAAGCTGTCATTTGTAAGGAGCACACGGAGCTTCTGGGATTTGTACATCTCTGTTTTAATGTACGATTTTGTTTTTATAAATATACCGTATTTTTCGCTCCATAAGACGCACTTTTTTTCCCCCAAAAGGAGGGGGAAAATGTGCCTGCGTCTTATGGAGCGAATACCTATCGCCCGACACCCGGGACATGCAGTTTCGGGCGCCGGGCGAGTAGTTTCTTTGTTAATTGCCCTTTTCTTGCCATTTTGAAAGTAATATACTACTTCCTGCAGTATGCAATACTGAGGGTGTAGTAACAGTCTCTTCCAACATTGCTTTTATACAGATGGGGGGCTTTTGTGAGCAATCCACAAAATTTGGGACACCTGTAGGAATTGTTGGCATAAACTTTTAGGGCCCATTCACACCAGATGCAGTGCTCTCCGGCCTGGTTGTGGCCAGAACGCACTGCCTCGCATTGCGGCCAGCTCACTTTTTGTAGGGCAGGAGGGGGCGTGGCGGGCCATTGAAGTGAATGGCACCGTAGCCATCCCCTCCGGCCGTAATACGATCGGCCGCACGGGATCGCAAGGCACATTATGCATGCGGTCTGGTCCGGCGCGATCAAAATAGTGCTTGCTGCCAAGTAGCAGCCAGGTGCTGCTAATCAAAAGTCTTTGATCATCAGTAAGTGTGACCATCTCTATGAAAGCCAAAGTTTTAGCAGTTTGCTGGCCTGGAGCATTCAGATGTGTGCTGATGCTTTGCCTCCATGGCATTGTGTTAACAATGATCTTAGAAAAGCAATTGTTGGTGCCCATCAATCAAGGAAGGGCTATAAGGCCATTTCCAAACAATTTAAAGTTCACAATGCTACAGTGAGGAAGGATATTTACAAGTGGAAAGCATTTTAGACAGTTGCCAATCTTCCCAGGAGTAAACGTCCCAGAAATTGGGCTCTGAGAAATTGCAAGAAACCCAAAAGTTACTGTACATCTCAGACTCCACAGGCCCAGTTAGCATGTTATATGTTAAAGTTCATGACAGTCCAATTAGAAAAAGACTGAACAAAGATAGTTTGTTTGGAAAGGCTGCAAGGAGAAAGCCTCTTCTCTCTAAAAAGAACAGTGAAACACGGCTTAGGTTTGCAAAGTTGAATCTGAACAAACCATAAGACATCTGGAACAGTGTCCTTTGGTACACAAAACCAAAGTGGAGATGTTTGTCAAAAGCCAAATACAGCATATCCGCACAAACAGCTCATACCAACTGTCAAGCCCAGAGGTGGAGGGGTTAAGATTTGGGCTTGTTTTGCAGTGACAGGACATGGGCACCTTGTAGTCATCTAGTCAACCATGAGCTCCTCTATATACCAAAGTATTCTAGTGTCAAATGTGAGGCCAACTGTCCAATATCTCTCTATCTCTCTCTATATCTCTATACATATACTTCTTCTTTTTTTTTTTTCTCGCAGTTCCCTTTCCAGCCTTACTTTGTCACATTTAGTCCCCATTCACACCTAGTCCCCATTCACACCTAGGCGCGACAAAATGCTCAAGTCATTTCTATGATCCCTGTTTACACCTGAGCATTTTGTTGCAAGCAGAAAAACGCCAGTTCGCTGGAAAAAAAGTACATGAGCTACTTTTTGGCGGGTTACAGTGCTTTCTGGTCCCATAGACTTCAATGAGAAACGTTCGTTTCAAGCACTTTTGCGCGTTTTGTGTTGCACAAAGTTTCCCATTAAAGTCTATAGCACTAAAAATCATAATCATAAAGACCAAAATGTCATGCCAACTAACTGCAGTTTCATCTCTGGTATGCAACTTTTTAAAAAATATTCTTGCAACATATTAAAGTTTGCAACTCCCTGCACATATTTTGAAACATTTTGCATAATATCTCAACTGAGCAATATTTGGGTCCAGCACTTGTGACCATAAAAGACCTCCTGTTGCACATTCTAGAAGTGCTCTTGGGCACTTAAAGTATCACAAAGACAACTCAGCTTCATACTCTCAAGACGGCTTCAGGGATATTTAGCTGTCATCTAGAACCGTGGTTCTCAAGTAATGGTCGCGACCCAAAAGTTGGTCGCAACACCTTCAAATGATCGCGGCATTCCTGCATAGAACAGCCCTCCTTCAGCAGGGAGAGGGGCAGCATGCTGGAGACTTTATTGTGAAACGGTTCCCTCTCTCTCCTGAAGCTAATAGGAACCGGGGAGAGAGGTGACTATTTCATTACTTTCGGCCCATGGAATAAGTAAAGTCCTGCCCTGTACTGTCTCCACAGTGCAGCAGATATCAGTCTGCCCCAGTGCAGCCGATTGATATCAAATGTGCCAGATAGTTGCATGTCTGTGCCAGAGGAAGACTGCTGAGCATGGCGTGCAGTTGCTTTGTAAAGGCACTGCTGCATAACAAACCAGAACCAGAAAAAATCCATGTATAGTGTGCAGCTGAGCTAGAGATGGGGGTGCTGAGACCTTTCCAATAACATTGGAGTACTAAATAGTAAAATACATAAGATAAAATACTAGTGTACAGTCAGTGTATGGATATTTGTATTTTTTTTTTCATAAATTTGTTTTGCTACATACAGGTGAAACTCGAATAATTAGAATATCGTGCAAAAGTAATTGCAGTAAGTGCTGCAAAAGGGGCCCAAACCAAGTACTGAGTACATACGCATGCTTGTACTTTTCAGAGGTCCGATATTGTTCTATGTACAATCCTTGTTTTATTGATTGCATGTAATAATCTACTTTTTTGAGGTTGTGGATTTGGGGTTCTTGGGGTTTTCATGAGCTGTAAGCCATAATCATCACAATTATGACAAATCACGGCTTGAATTATCTTGCTTTGCATGTAATGAGTCTATCTCATATATTAGTTTCACCTTTTAAGTTGCAATAGTGAAATAAATTAACTTTGCACGATATTCTAATTATTCGAGTTTCACCTGTATGTTTAACCAGTTAATCACTTATGTTAGTCCTTTATTTTATCTATGGATCTTAACTAGTGGTCCCGACCCAAAAGTTGGTAGCAACCATGTGTTCAGTGGGTTGCCACATGTCTTCCACTGCGCTAGGTGATGGGCTCCTCAGCCCCTCCCCCTAGTGTGGCAGTTGTCGCACCGAGCAGCCATTCAAAATCTGCTGCCTGGCGCTTGGTGTCAACTTGAGGTGGATTGGAGGTAAGGCTGCGAGGGAGCTCCATCCATACACACATTGCTTACAGCTCCCTTGCATGCCCTGTAAAGGTGCTTGGACTGGAGTAATGTCACATTCTGGCTCCCGGCACCTCCACAGGGCGCACAAGGGAGCTTTACAAGCAATGCACATAGTTGGAGCTCCGTCACAGTACAGCAGGCCACACTGGACCCAGGCTGAGGATCCACTCCAGTTCCTGTAAGGTAGGTAAACTAGGTAGATCTTTTTTTTTTTTAAAGTGTTTTTAAGTGCCCGTTCACACAGTACAGTGCGTTAATGGCACATTACCGTGCGGTTAAAGCACTGTACCACGCAATTGCACCTACCATGCGTTCTGGTGCAGGAGGTGCATTGGCACCCCAAAAGCATTACCCTCCCACAGTTCATTCGCACGAACCGGAACATGTGGTGCCGCAATGCCGTGCATTCAAGTGCTGTACAACTTGGATTGCGACATAATGACCAAGGACAAATGTGGGTCCTGAGGCCCACACCAGTGGTTCGTTCCCAGCAAGCTTGTGACAATTTAGAGACCGTTTACAGACAGACAATTTAGGGACAATTCTCCTTTTATAAAGGCATTAAAGTCAAAATTTAATAAAAAAAATTCCATCCCCCCAATGTTAATGTTAGCACTTACCTTAAATGAGGTTTCTTAATCCAATCTTCCTCTTTCCCTATTTTTTTTTATCTGTCCCTCCAGTGGTGTGGCGGCTCTCCGATGCAGCGCTGACTCCTCTCTGCTTGCAGGCACTTCCGATCCAGCGGTGCCTCCATGCGGATGCACGCGTCCATAGACTTACCTTCCGTCTCTGCTCGTCTCCCACCCGAAAATCCGAACTGCGCATGCGCGCGCCCCAAGATGCTTTGCGGCCGCCCGAGCAGTTTTGTTTTCTCGGACGGGAGCGCGCGACGAAAAAAAGGTTAATGTGTAAACCGCTGT